AGCTGTTGGGACTTTCACGATGGGGGTTGGTGGGTGTCCCTCAGCACCAACCACTACTGGTTTCCCCGAGGCTGAGTTACACTGGCTCTTCATATGTCCTTGCTCTCCACAGTTCCAACAACTTTTCTAAGTAGCAGCCTTTCCTGGTGTGGCATCTTCCCTGTGTTGACGTTTCCAGCATTGAGCTCTCTTGTGCCCAGGTTTGTTACAGTGCCAGCAAAGTCCCTCAAACTTCTCTGAAAACTGACCATTTCTGACCTTGAATCCAGATGACTGTACCAACCTTGGTACCTCTGTGCTGGACTTAACATAGGATTCAAATTCAAGAGCTCTGGCCATTGCATCCTGCATGGTAGAGGGGTGTGCTTGCTTCACTTGTATCTTTAGTTGTGTACTGTCCAAGGCATCTACAATCTGCTCCCTCAGCAACAGCTTGAGGACATCTGGTGGCGCAGTTGGATAGGCCTTGTGTGCCATACTTTCCAAATCCTGTGCCAGCTCTTGCACGCTCTCCACTTTAGCAGGGACTCTAGCTCTAAACCTAGCCCTGTAGACTTCGGACTGATTTTGCATTCTATACCTGATTTCTAGAGCAGCTACCAGTGCTCTTTAGTTGTGCCTATCGTCTGCTGACAACTGTCCAAGTATTTCCAATGGCTGTTCCTTCAAGCTCGTTGCCAGGTACACTGCTTTCTATTCCTCTGTCCATCCATTCATTTCTGCCAGGAGCTCAAATTGTGCTCTATATGCTTCCCACGGTGCCTTCCCATCAAATTTCTGTGGCTTCCTTCATACTAGATCACCCCTGTTGCTGACACTCATGTCTGGAATGTGACTTCTGGCAGGACTGAAAATGTCTGCATTAGGGTTTAGCTGCAGGGTCTGGAAGGGGCTTCCTGTTGTATGGGGCTGATTAGGTCCATGGGTAATATATCTTCCCTGTGTAAAAGAAAGTAGATCATCCTGTCGATGTTGTACCTGGCATCAGCCTAGATGCAGATGATATCAAACTACGTATGATCGATTTGGCTTCCTGCTTTTTCCCCTTCATGTAGCTTATCACAACAGACTCATTCATATTGTCAACATTGAACTTTTTATTGCACACATTGCAACAAGCTTTTTGGCCATGTGCCCCCATAACAAGCCATTTCCTGTACTTATCCTTCAGAAATCATGCATTGTGAAATATACATTTTCCCAGCATGTTTTATGCAAGTACACATTCAAGACAACACCACAGAACACAAAAATAATGATGAGAAAAAAGAATGGATCTCAATTACATAATTACTTTTACAGTGAGACTCAAACACCAATGGCCTCATTCAACCATGTACCGCTGAAGTAATTCAAGTTACTATTTATGCATGCACATATGCAGTGCATGCTTGTGTCATCACTAAGGAAAAACATGGACTTACTCAGAATATAATTACCATTGGATATTATATGATGTAATCATCAAATAAACAAATTATGGAAAACACTAGTTTATAATACTGACAGGTGAAAATTTTCATTTTCCATGATATTCCAAAACCCTTAGATAAATTTTCATTTTTCCAAAACTTTACAAAACCCGTATGAACTCTGCTTTCAAAATATAAAGGTTCAAGACTTGGAAGAAGATGAGAAGACTTTAGCCATAGGTATGACCATGAAGGAAGCTGAGTATATCCTGAATGTACATCTGATGGCTGTTTTATATGATTTGGATCACTAGAGCTAGACAAAATTTATGAAGCAGGGTGGTTTTCTGGATTTCTGCTGGTTAGCAGTTACATAAAGTTGATATTCAAGAGTTAAGCTTCCCACCCACTAGCTGCCTGTTTATGTAATTGGAAGAGGTTGAATTATGCAGAAACTACAACAATGAAAAAATATTCACAATGGATCAAGAGCAATCTTATTATTGTGTGCTATATTCTTCATCTCCTTCAAGATCAGGACCTGGGCAGTAGCAACAAAGAAAAGGTAGGTATACAGTAAGGATTAAGATTAAAATTTGACAGCTGCAACTGCAAGTACTATTGGGACTGGAGCTAGAAGTTTAAAAAAAAAATCAGGAAAGATGAAGTAGCAATTGAAGTCAGCAACTCAAAGTGACAGTAAATAGAAAAAGAAAGTACTAATGATTCAGTTATTTGTAAAACTGTTCAATGCATTTAGTTTTGATACAGTTTACTCTGAAAATCTGAAAAAATTTAACAAAAAACAAACAACTTTCCTTAATAAAACTATTTTAATAATTATTCTTTTTCTTGTAATTTTTAAAGTAAAGTTCATCAATAAAGAATTTACTGGTGCTAATTAGGTGTCTAACATTAACATTATTTATCATCATTGGTAATATTTCTGTGTGTTAAGCTGTCAATATATTAACACTTTTGCAGTGGGTTCATGTATTTTACACAATATTGTAACCATATAGATATACATACTGTAATTCTGAAAGTACTTAATGTAACTTCATGAAATTTGACAAGCTTTCAGTAAATATTACAATTCTTCTGTAGAAAAAAAATATCAGAATTTTTAATTAAGTACTTCTATTAAAAATTTCTCCATAAATATATAGAGTCAAAGTGTTGACTACTCCAAGTGCCCTTGATAACCATCCTTATCAAAGACCTCAACCAATTTGTCACTGCCCTTGATAACCATCCTTAACAAAGACCTAAGTGCTCTAAGTGCAAAGTGATTTTCATGTTAAGATTAAAAATACTTTGCTTCATCTGAAAGTTTTCAAATTTCATTTGCATAATCTCTAAAATCTCCTAAACAAAGTTTTCTTTCACAAAAAATTTCATATTTTTATCTAATATTTTCTATATCATTACTCTATGTAGGATGAGTTGATTTGACTGATTTTGTAATCACCATATAAAATTAAGAAATATCACGAAATTACCCTTTTTTCTAAAATAACTGCAAATTGTAACATGAAACCACAATTACTTATCTTAAATAGTTTAAAGCTCCCAACAATAAACAACTTTTTATACTTAATTTTATTGAACTTTAAATGGTGTAACTAATAATCTTGCCACACAAGTTGTAAATCATTTGGCAACCATGCACCTCGTGTTATCAAATTATGTAATGCACAAGCTGCTTGCAAAAATATCCCATGAATAATTTTTTTTATTATTCTCATTTTTCATTATCTTACTTAATCTAACCTAATAAGTTTCTAATTTTTATGATTTAGTTATTTTATAATAATAAATAAAGATTACACATGAAAAACAAATATATAGTGCTTACATGGGTCATCATCTTTTTGTGCTGTCAATTGTTGATGAACCTTAGGCCTACTTTTTTTAATATTATGGTACTATTACACTAAATATTTTTTAATAAATTAAATAAAGACCATAAGAACACGGAGTAAGAACATGCAAAAAACAAACAATGTCCTATAACTACCATCACTTTTCTGGCTTTCTAATTATGCAATAAGATCCTTTAAAAATTCAGCTAATCTTTTCAATGTGATTCTTGTAAGAATAAATTTTCAAACTGGAAGCAAAATAGACAATTTTCGGTACAGAAAACATCATAATATAATACGGCATTAGATAAATTATAACTCTGGCTTTCTATTGGTTATAAATAATGTAGTATTAAATGTTTGAGAGAAATACTGGAAATTTGTGAAAAATACAATGTGACAAGTGGGTCTGATTTTCTAGTTTATAGCTCTGTGGACAAATAAGATTCAAGGCTTTAAATACATGCTTTGCCTGAGTATTATCAACATTGTAATGAGTAATTTATGTTAAATTCCATACTTCTTATATGTTGTAAATAAATTAGAGAAGAGGGAAGATCTAGAGAGCAAATGTCACAATTCTCATTCTAGGGGAGCTTGATGAATTTTCTTTAATATTTCCTTATAAAATTAAGATCTTAAAACTTATATATAATATTAAAACTTGATTTATTAACTATGTTTTGATGTGAGGTTTATTCATATACATATATTATAAAGTAAAATGTTTAATTAAATTTTGAATGTAACTTCGTAAAAGATTGTGACTTGCACTTTGCAAATCTGACAAGAAAGGGTTAAAAGTTATTTACATTTTAAAAGAAAAATTATGGAAAATTTACTGCAACATCTCTAACATTGCATACACTTATTTGAATAGTTTTGTAATGGTGTAATAGGGATACATTAGATCATACAATACAGACAATACTGAGCAGCTGTCTTTACTTTAGAGATATAATGTGTACTTCTCTTTTGAATTTTCCACTCTTTGACTAGATGTGACATCCATTTTAATGGTTAAGCAAAGGTAAATCTCTAATTCTGTAACACTTTTCCAGTTTATTCAAATTTTTGTGGCTCTTTAAGTCTCAAATTAATTCACTTCAGACAGGAACAGGTTAATTCTTTTAAATACTTAAATTTGTAATCATACAGAGTTGCTGAAGACTGAAGTTGTATCATTCTGTTTTAGTATTTTTGATTAAATAAAACAATTATGGTATGGTTGTAAATGGATTTAAAGTTATAAATTTAAATTAACTTTAAGGTTTAGCAGGTAATTTATAAGAGGACTTTAGATGAAGCTTGTGGTTTCCTCTATTTTGAGACTAAGTGTATGACTTTGTGGTAAACCACACACCTGTTCATTCTTACTTAAGATTTTTTTTGAATTTTTAAAATTATGTACCCACTTTTTTTTAGAATAAAAAATATACAACACAAACTCAACCTGCGGTTTCTTTAAAAATATGAGGATAAAATCATACAAACCTTAAATCCACAGTAGTCCGTGTTTCATAAGTCAAATGCAAAATATTATCCAAGATTATTCATAAAGTGGAAAAACAAACAAACTAATTTTGTTTTGTGTTTTTGCATACATAGATAGCATAGAAACTTGAGTTTGCTGAGCCTACTTTTTGATGGTATATTAATGTAATTGCTTAAATATATAGCTAGCAGGTATGTTGACAATTGCTATTATATATTGTTCCTTTACCTTTGTACAATTGTTAGCCTTTGGCTCCAAATCTTCCATCTTGACTAAACGTTTTAGAAGATGGGATTCCTGATATCCTCTTGGAACTTTTAAACTGAATCCTGCTTCCTGGTGCTTCAACAACAAAGTTGCATTCACTGCAAAACCAGCCATGTCAATAGGAAATGGTCGATCTGCTTTCCATAGTGTGTTCCAACCCACAACTTTACCACTTTTGACTATAGGTCGTTCAACCATCAGACCACCCACCAATGCAACAGGCCACACAGATACTTTCTTGGTGTAGCGCATCTGTCAAAAAAAAGATATATACATATAAAGTCTTCTAAATATTGTTACATCTCTGGTCATTAGTTAATTTTCCGTATAATTTCTTTCCGATGAAACTTTAGCGACAAAAGTCCTTTCTTAAGTAAAAATAGTTTATTCTTTGTGAATACAACTTTTCAATATACTTAATTTTCACAGTTGCGCTATAACAAGCGCTATAATTCACAACGAACATCTCACATGCTCGATTCAACTGTCAATTACACATAGTTGCTGTCACTTCTTGGCGGCTTATATATGCAAGACTACCGCATATCTAGTAGCCTCTCGAGACACGCATGACGTGTTACTAGTGTCACGTGACCTCCGCTGTCGTAACAATATATACTGTTAAAAATGCCTGACTAATATTAAACAAAACAAGCTTACTTGCAAGCCTTACAAGATTTTTTTCAAAGAAATATCAGTTACTTGAAAAAATAAAAATCATACAAATTCTAAAATGATCTTGAATATACATTGTTTCTGCACAAGTTGAAATGAGAAGAAAAACTGGATTGTTCACTTACAGCCATTACATTTTTACCTTAACAAAGCAGTTTGATGGTTTTATACATAGTCACATATTGTTTTTAATATACTAAGTAGAGGACATTAGAAACCAGACATGCCTAAAACAAAAATTGTTTTTTTTTCGATAGTCTGCCTGTGAAAATATGAAATTTCCATCCAATATAAAAACCTAACATCTATTATAATAATATTCATTATGCACCTTACTATCTAAATATGCATACACTTCATTTCTACAGATGTAGACAAAAGGAGGACATAAATATACTTTAGAAGACACTCTGTACAACAACATATTAAAAGCTTATCAAAGTATTTAAAAGGTCTAACATTAGGTCATAGAATAATATTATAAGTTGATTTATTAACAGTAATAAGTATGGTAAAGTTTAACCCTAGCTAAACTAAAGCAAAAATGTAAACAAGTTACAGTGTTAATCTTTTTATCAAATATAGGCTGTACTTAATAAAGGCTTAACTAATAATTGGCCTAATACAAAAGGATTTAAAGATTTTGGTGTCTATGATTAGAATTATTTTGTATTATTCCAAAAATCCTGTATTTAAAGAAGTACTGTTGCAGTAAAGATACTAATTTGACCTCAAATGTTATACGGGTCTCTGCTAGTATTAGATATTATGGTACACATGTATTACCTCTTCAAACAGTTCCAAATCATATGTATTGTCATCATCTCCAAAATAGACAACACCTTTGACCTCTGACATATTTAAGTGCTCTCGTAACCATTTCAAACCAAGGTTTCGCTGGAGTACTCCTCGAGGTTTTAACCAATTTGGATCTTTTTCAGTAGTCTTGTAGTCTGGTGGAGTGGGGATATTTAGGTGAGTATTAGATAATGGACAGTGGGCCAGGAACTTTGACACTAATTTTGTTTTGTTTATAGAGTCTTCCACCAAAATCCAGTGGATGTTGGGTACCTAAAATATAATTTACTTTAAATACTAATTATCTATATCTAGAATATGAGAATGCACATATAGTTTTAGTATGTCAGACACTACTAAAATGAAGAAAAATATAATCACTAAATATAAACTTCAAGATTTTTTAAATGAAGCTAAATACTTACCATTACTACAAACTAATGTATCTTAGTCACTTCACTATTTTCTTAGCTTTCTCCTCACTTTAACAGTTAAGTTGCATGATGTGAAAAATCATATCAAGGCAAAGCATAATTTCTTCATTTTGTGCTTACTACAGGTATAATTCTAGTTCAATCAGCTTCAGTTACATGTATTTTGCACAGCTGAGACTGTATCCCAACCAACTCAAGAAATTTCCCCATATACTGAAGCACACACACAGAGTTAAAGTATTAGTTCTCAAAACACCACCTTTGTCTGTGACTCATGTTTCTATTTGAGAATAAAGCAGTTATAACCACTCAATATCCAGAAAAGTCAATAAGTCCCACTCTACACTGAATAAAACTGTGTTTCCAAGTGGTATTATCACCACCAACTAAGAGTACAAGAATAAAAAAGAAAGATTCTGCTTACATCAAGATGATTGAAAGAAATTATGCAAAAAATCCAAAGTTATGTAAAAGGCAATTAAAATTTAAGATAAGGAAAACAAATGTTACAATACAAAGGTATCATAGAATATGATGCAAGTTGACAAGTGCTAAAACAAATTAAAAGTATAAAGCAGAAAGGTAGAATGACAATTAAGGTGTCATAAGTTGGTTGGACTAACGTTGTTTTGATAGATGTACACTAAGTAGCTGGTCATATAAAGTTGTAAACAAAATCAATTTTGCAGGTCAAATCACTTCAAGAAGGTAGAAAATACAGAGATAAACCAAACAACTAAAGTGTCCATAACTTATAGAGGAGAATAACTTAAGTTAAGGCACATGTAAGTTCTGATACTTATACAAATTTTAATAAACAATAAATTCTCTTGAGGAACTTTAGTGTTTCCTGGAGGATGTATTAAATGCAAAAACCACCAAATGTAATTTGAAACATACAAAGACATACTAATTTTATATGAATTAAAATACTAAGCATTAAACGTTTTATAGAAATTTGTGTATATTTCATAGAACTCATTGTCATATAGTGGTATACTAACTTATTTTTTATGGTTGTTTCATATTTATGCTAAAACTATACTTGATTTATTTATGTCTGGTTTAGCACATATCAAATAAGCCTAATTTTTATTTGATCATAGGTTGGGCTTGTGCATCACCTGTTGCAGTATCTTAAGCAAGAAAAGAAATGCCATGTATCTCTTGAAAAATTTTGGGAGTCAAGACATGGACTTCCAACAATTTTTTTCATTACTCCAACATACTCTCGCCCCGTGCAGAAAGCTGAGCTTACTAGGATTTCTCACACACTTCGAAAGGCTTGCATGTTCATGATAAATAAAAATTACAAATTTAAGGTAGCAAATACACAAACACATACTTAAGTAAACATATAACTTGAAATCTCTCAAAAATTAGAGAACAGGCAGCAATATTGCTACAATTATAACTTACTATATTATAATGGTTCAAAATATACAGAGGTTTAACTGTACTCTGTATGAATGATTTACATTTACTAATGCAATGGTTTGTTGCTGTAGATGCAAATGGTGGTGCCACAGGTACATGTTTGTTTCATTGCAAATATGTCACTATTAAACAGTGCAAAGCTGCTAATGGGTACTTAATAGTTGGAAAAACATATCACAGTCTTTTACAAGAAAAAATATTGATATAGTGAGATTATTACGTACAGCCAAAAACACAATGTCAGAGAAGGAAGTATTTAGTGTTTGCTATGGTGAAATGGAAGAACATGCACAACAAACATTGGTCTAGAATGGAAATGGGCTATGAAATCAAAGTCCAAGCCATTTAGCTTTTAGGTATTGTAATGCTGTATCTATTACAATGACATACAACATTACACATTATTTGACACATTTATTAATTTTCTGTTGTACTAAAAACTATTTTTCCTTTCTTTATTCTGTGATTCTAACATGGCAGTTCTACTACAAGTTCAAATTATATTTCAAAGACAAAGTTTCTGAAGAAATAAAACATAGTATAATAGGTTTACATAAAGAAGGCTACAGTCAGTGGGAAATTTCTGTGCAAATGAAAGTATCAAAAACTGGTACCAATGATGAAAAGAGCAGGACTGAAAGACCCATACAGCCTTTCCAGATCAGATGTTTAGTACCTTATACCTTAGGTTTATTTCAATTACAGACAGGCATAAATCTAGCAGCTGGCTTGCTGCAGAACTTCAAGAAATCACTATGGTTAAAGTTTACTTTTACATGGTGTGATAAGTTTCATTGAGAAAAGCTGAAAGGGTGCACTAAAACAAGAAAACCTCTGTTCCAGAAATGCAACAAACCAAATAGAATTAATTTTGTAAAATAGAGTACTCTGGCATGACAAGTCAAAGGTTGCAATCACTGGAACCAACATATACCAGTATATTCACCATATGAATGGTGACAGATAAAATGAAAATTTTCTGCAGCCTTCAGTTAAGCATGATGGAGATGATATCAAAGTGTGATGCTGTTTAACTGGAGATGGTAATTTGTACTTAACTGACTAAATATTGGATTCTGCCAAATATAAGCAAATACTCATTCATAATGCTGTTCCTTCTAGATGTCATTTCCCAGCATGATAATGATCTCAAACAGAAAATGCAGTAAAACAGTATCTCAATAGAAAGAAAGCAGATGAAACGTTTACGTGTTAGGTGTAGCTTGAAGCTTAATATCGTTAAATGTGTATAGGACTGTCTTGATTGTGAAAAACAGCAGATGCAATAACGACAAAGGAGAAGCTCTGGACAATTCTTCAAAACATCTGGAATTCAATTCCCCCCAAAAGCTTGAAGAAAGCATTCCTCAATCAGCTTCAGGCAGTGACTTCAACTAAGGGTAATCATACAAAATATTACAGAAATAAAGCGTAGCTTTGCTTCACATGTACATGTTTTGCCTTCAGACATTTAAGAATTTCTGAAATCATTGTGCTAAAAGAAATTTAGCATGTTTTGAATTTAAAATACATTATACCAAATGGTCTCTAATTTATGGACAGTACTGTATACTACAGTGTTTCAGAATAAATCAGAAGCAATACAACAGATGAATACTTTATTAAACTATAATGGTTCAAGAACTAGTAATGCTATTGCTACATATATATAAATTAATATTCTATGGTGCATGATTCCGAGAAGTGGCAGAAATAATGCAACAAAACACCCTAATATACTGTTAATGACTCACAGAATTAACCATCAGTAATAAACCTAGCATTAGATATTTTGCAACAAAATGCTGAATCATCTGTAACCATATTCACAAAGCCATTGTTTTTTTTGTACCTCCTGCATTAACAAATTTGTCCTTTGCAATAAATTATTGTAAACTTGTTAGCCTCTAATTTCTTTTTGAAGACTATTGTTCTTACTTTTTATCTCTTCCCCCACTGTCAAACTTTTGGCCTCATAATTTTATCAAGTATTCCTTTGTTTAACAACAAGTCAAAGCTTGGAATGGTCTATTCTTCCATTGGGGGGTGTGTCTGTGAGCCAGACACAGAAAACGTTTTTTTTTATGTTGGCAAAAATTCCAAAATATGCTTGTTGATAATGATCTTGCCATTTCAGTTGCAGATGCCTCAACTGCCAAAACAAACCAAATTATAATTGTCATCTCCGTTAGGCTTATATCAGGAGCAGAATCAAGCACAATCAAGTAATATATAGCATATTTAGCAGCAATCAGTATAAATCTGGACCTTGTTGGACAGAAATTGAATCAGTTCAAATAGTGCTTATGGACTTCTTGGATGACAATCTTTCAAGTACAGCTTGTCAATGCTGAGTTTCATGTTTAACCAGGCATATATTTTTGTATCAACTATTTAATTAATTTTACAATTAAACTTTTAATGATTTCCTTTATTGAAACAAACTTCACATATTCTAAAGATCCAACTTCATGTCAACATGTAACCAGCATAACCAAAGATGTTTTAGGTATAAGCAGCAGTCTTTGATAGGCCTAATTCTCAAATAAATCTAAACAGTCACTTACATCGAACTAGTGTATTTAAGTGTTTTACATTCACAAAAAAGAAACCTATCATTCTTTAGGTATTTGAAGAACTTGTAGCATTCCGCCACAATTTAATTCTTCATATAGTTAGCTGACACTAGGCAGCTGGCAAATAATTGAATAGAGTTGTTTAAACATACTCGTATGTTAAAATCCCTAATAAAATGCTTTCATTTTCTACAGGATAAACAAAAAGAACTGGGAGAAAACATTACAAAACTGGTGTCCAGAGAGGGATTATTCTGATAAAGAGAGAGAGAGTTTAGAGTGAACTTCAAGATGGTGACATGCTTGAAGTGAGATCAAAAATTTGCTGGAAATGATGACAGTGTAAAAAAGAATAGGCAAAAAGAGACAGAAAATTAACAGAACAAGAAAGAGGCAATAAGGTTAAAAACAAGAAAGTTACTTAAAATTGAAGAAAGACAAAATAAGACAAGAATTTAAGAAAGGATTTAAAAGAAAGACTTAAGATTTAAAGAAGAATTAAAAACAAGACTGACTGAAATCAAGATTGAGGAAGCTATTAGAGATGAACAGAAGCATTATAACAGTAAATTTAATACAAAAAGACATTATGAAGTGGAGAAAGATTGATGAAGAAATAGATATATCAGTGCAAAACAACATCTATAAAGAACAAAAATATTACAACAGAAATGCCAATGAGGTAGAAAAAACATCTGGGACATTGTGGGTTCTAGCACCCAGATCCTAACCCCCCCCCTCTTTTTTTGGTTATGTGTGATAGATGGAATATCCCCAATGCTTTTGGGAGCTATAACTGCAGAAATTTTCACTTTAAAATGACACCTTTTGTACTTTTGTTCAAATGGGATAATTTTACATTGTTATATTAGAACTTTGTTGGACATTCACTTACTTGTTGGCAGTACATCTACATGTACAATAAATAAATTGTAGGTTATATTATATATATACACATATAAATTCAAAGCTCTTATTTTAAAACAAAAAAACCTTCACACTTTCCAGTCATTATCCAAAAGTTATAATGAAGATTGCCTGTCGTAACAGCACCCAAAAGCATTGGGGATATCCCATCTATCAGACAAAATCCAAAGAGCAGATAAGAAACCAGTTAGCAGTTGTGGAAAATTCATTTAGGCCACAGAGTTGAGTGCTTACAACCTCAACATCTCAACTCTTACTGTCTTTCACTGTCTGTAGCCAGTTGTGAGAAGGCAGTTACCCTTAAAAAGATGTAATAAAATTAAAAGTAGAAATAAGATTAAATTAAGCCACCTAAAAAATATATATTTCTACTAAACAATGCCTACCATCCTCCACTCCTTAAAAGTTTTAAAAATCCTCAAAGTAGAATAAATACCACCCTAATAATTGTACTATATGTTACTCCCAACCTCCACCCTTTTCTGAAAATGACTTATTAAAAAAATATCTTAAACAAATTACTAGAAATATCTTAATTAGTTCATGTTGTCACATTATTCAAGTATAGCATGGGATAGCCAAGAAAAGCCCAGTTATTGAAGTTAGTCTTTCCAGTCCCAGCTATACTGAATAAATTTAACTTGCATATTAAAGGTAGCTACCTACCTCTAGAGACAAAAAAGTTGTTTTTTTTCTCATTGAATATTTATCAGATAAAATATTTTGAAATTTATTATAAAAACTTGCAAAAAACTTTTTTATTTGCTCAAACAATTTAAATGTTTCAAATACAGATAATTTAAATGTTTCAAATA